TTAACACCCTACTTGTTTACAGTTTCTATTAGTTAGCTCAGCCTATTCCTCTGTACTGGGCGTGGGAACATATTAGCAGAATCATTCAGGCCCATAATGAATGTTTTCACACCTCTGGACCTGACCTAACTACACCTATTTTGCTCTTTGTTTTAGGTTTGAGGATGGAGTTGTAGACAGATGATGTCTGAGGCCTCCATTTCTGTTCAAGGATGGATTGTCTTTCCTCACAAAAATAGCTTTTTAACTCCCCTCCCAAACCAATTCTTTTCTCTGGCTCAGATCTGTACCTCACTGTCCTCAAAGGAGTGGTCCGAGGCTTTTAGTTGGAGATGTACAGCAGACTGAGGTCCTTTTAGTTGGAGATGTACAGCAGACTGAGGTCCTTTTAGTTGGAGATGTACAGCAGACTGAGGTCCTTTTAGTTGGAGATGTACAGCAGACTGAGGTCCTTTTAGTTGGAGATGTACAGCAGACTGAGGTCCTTTTAGTTGGAGATGTACAGCAGACTGAGATCCTTTTAGGTGGAGATGTACAGCAGACTGAGGTCCTTTTAGTTGGAGGTGTACAGCAGACTGAGGTCCTTTTAGGTGGAGATGTACAGCAGACTGAGGTCCTTTTAGGTGGAGATGTACAGCAGACTGAGGTCCTTTTAGGTGGAGATGTACAGTAGACTGAGGTCCTTTTAGGTGGAGATGTACAGCAGACTGAGGTCCTTTTAGGTGGAGATGTACAGCAGACTGAGGTCCTTTTAGGTGGAGATGTACAGCAGACTGAGGGAGATGTACAGCAGACTGAGGTCCTTTTAGGTGGAGATGTACAGCAGACTGAGGTCCTGTGTTGCTCTCTCGTCTGTGTTGGTTCATCTTCTTGTGAAGTGTCTGTTTCTCCAGTGTAGTGTTCACTTCAGTCTTCACTGCACTGAATGCAGTAGAGCACATTGCTTTGTTTGTGGCTCGGTGTTTTGTCCTTTGGTTGGACCAGTTTCTGTCTTAAAGTGTTTGTAGGCTTGAAAGACTGGGATTTCATGTTGTCTGAAAATCCTCTGTAGTTTTTCAGATGCCACAATAAGACATTAAAGAGCCCAAATCACGTTCTTTTCTGATCTATTTTATGTTTTCTCATCAAAAACACAGGGAGGTGTGTTTTGTTTCATTCACACATGTTTAACACACAAACCCTGTGTATTTAGGAGTTCCTCTCTCAAACGCAAAACACTCTGTTCCACCTTGTGATGTCATGTGGTAATACAGGAAGTGCTCCACTCTGTTTTTAAACTCCAGACACCTTCACTAGAATCATTTGGATCATTTCAGCCATAGAATTGCCAATCTCTACTGAAGTAAAGCTTGAAAACTCTCACTACATGACATCACAAGGTGGAGCATTTTGTGCTTTGTGGATGTAGACAGACTAATAATGCAGGATTACTCAAACACGTGTGAATGAAACAAAACACAGCTGATGATGCAACAACATTATAACACGGCATAAAGCTCACGTGAATCCATTTTGTGTAAAAGAGGATCTTTAATGCCATACAGTGGAATACCAAAAAAGGCAATAAAAGTTTAAGTTAATAAGTTTGTAGAATCTCTCAGTCATCCAGGCAGAATCCAAAGGAGAAATTCAATTTATCAACTGGACAAATGTTAATTTAGATCGATTTTGCAACTTTTCTTCAATTCGCTGCTTCATCCAAACTGAAGCTGATTGGATGAGCTGTGAAACATTTTTGACCTAAATTAACATTTGTCCAGTTGATAAATTGAATTTCTCCTTTGCCTTTAAGTTAATAAATGAAATACTCTTTTCACATTAAAAACAGTTTGTATGATTGGCATAGTATTAGTTACATTAGCCTACTTTTAAAATGAGTTTGATTGACTAATTATGTCAATAACAATTCATTATAGTTGCAAGTTGTGTCTGTGTTTGCCTGAGGGTTCACACATAACGCAGTCAGACGGGATTGTCTCTATCACCAAGCACTCTGACAATGGAGCTTTGTGCTGCGTTCAAGTACACAATAAAACCACAGATTAGACATTAGTCATAATCTAAATCAAAACTGTGTCACCTGTATTACAGCTGATGGCAGTGAGTCATGTTTTGATCCAAATTTCAATATAATATTTGTTGTACACTTCAATAATGTTTGATACGACTATTATTTTACTTCTATATTACACAAAATGAACTATTGTGAGCTTTAAGCCAGGTTAGAATGTTGTTACCTCGTCGAAAACATACTCAGAGTTGTGTTTTGTTTCCTTTTCATGTTTGAGTAATCCTGCATTATTAGTCTGTCTATACATGCCCAAAGCTCAAAATGTTGTGTTCCACCTTCTGAAGTGTAGTTTTCAAATGAACAGGAACTTATTACCTTTTGTTCAATAGACATAGAACATTCCAGGGCTGAAAGGATTCAAATGATTCTAGTGAAGGTGTACGGAGCACCTCCTGTACTAACACGTGACATCATAGGGTGGAGCAGACTGTTTTCAATTTGAGAAAAGAACCAAGCTTAAATATGAAGGGTTTGTGTGTCCATAAAACAAACAAAGCAAAAAAAAAAAAACAATGCTGGGTGTGTTTCTAATGAGGAAACAACATTATACCATAGATGAGAAAATAGAATCATATGGGCTCTTTAAAACTTTATTTTACTTACATGTTCCAATGAAGAGCACAAGGAGGAGCACAGCAATCTGCAAACTCTTCATGTTGAATGAGTTTAAGTCCAAACTACAAGAAAACATGAATGAGACTTGTGATTGGTAGTAGTAGTAGTTGTCACAGTACAGGTAGTAGTAGCAGTAGTAGTAGCAGTAAGAGTATACTCACTTTGTAGTAGTAGTTGCTGTGAGTGTGCAGATCTTGTCTTTAACACTGTCTCATAGTTGATAGGTTTTATATGGTTTGGGTTGAGAAACAGTAGAATTCCCATATTTTTGTTTTTTGTTGAGTTATTGTGAAATGACGATTGCACCATGGTCCAAAGGCAGGAACATTTGGTAAATTCAGTGTTTTTGAGACACAGTGCGCTCAAATACTTCTACTATTTCAACACTTTATTACTGTGGGACAATATTTCATGCTCACACAGACAAAATTTGGTGTAGTGTCAGGCCCAAGGGCACATCAACAGCTTAAGGCAGACCTATTCTGAAAAATCCTTTAACCATGTTATAGTTGTTTTCACTTCCCATGTCCCTTTTTGAAGTTGTATTTGGAATGATTACACCCACTGCTCTGTACTTCCTTCCTTCTCCAGTTGTATTTTCTTAATCTGTGATATGCATGGGTTTCAGTAGTGTTATGTAGTCATTTAAATGTGAAAGAAATCTTCTACTCGCAGATGTGGGCAGCTGTCCATCAGAGGAGCCAACAAGTTCACGGCAAAAGTCAGCAGGCAAGTTGTTTTAGATGAATATTGTGATTTTAAATGTGCAAATATAACAGAGTGATCCACAGGTGTCATAGATTAGAACTATAGAACATCCTCAATATCCTCATAATATATGTTCTTATAACTTTGAACTGTTGTGTTCTTATAACTTTGAACTGGTACACGCAGATTTCTAACCACCAACTGTTTGAGTATCAGGTGATTATTCAACATCTGATCAGATCATCCAGGTACTTTCCTCTGACACTTGTGAACAGAGATAAACAGTGCTGTGTTGACAGACTGGTTTGGAGAGGGAGACACAAGAAGATGAAATTTAAGAACAGCTGTTATGGTTATGTACAAATGATACAAATGAAAAATATGATCTTAAATATGTGAATAAATAGATACAATTATGAGCATACATACACAGACTGACTGAACACAAACTAGGCAGTAAGAACCTGTAATCTCTGTATCCTCTGGCTGTGCATTATAAAGACACCAACCATGGCAGCTGTAAAAGTCAAAAAATCTGTGCAATTGAACATATTAAAGAAACAATAAGAGGAGGAGATAGACAGAAAAAAAACGACTACAGAGAGCACCCTTCTGGATCTACACTCTCGAGACTACACAGTTCCCAGGACTCAGTGGAGAGTTCGATTTCTCTTCCTTCCTTTAAAACCACAAGCTTTAAATGTGTAAGCAGTTCCTGTTTTTATATATCTTTGTCCCCATGAAACTGTTTAAGACCAGCCCTCTACTATATTATACAAATTATACATGTTGTATCTGTAGCACTTTTGTATTTTTTGCACTATATATTTTTAAACTGTGTATCTTTCTATACATTGGTTGTTGGGAATTGTACTATTTATATCTTGTATATTGTATCTTATCTGATCTTAAATACATTGTAAGTAAAATCTATTCAGCCTACATGTCCCATCATGCACCAGGGGATGAACATGTGACCTACACCTATAACTTTAAAAGGCCGAAGGGCCCAAACGCGTTGGCATGATTTTAACTTTATCTGCTCTGTGCTATGAAAGGCTTTTCATTATTTTGTACTTTTTGAGTGCCTCAGTTTTTTTCAACTTTGTTTGCAGTATATTTTCTGAATTTATGATGATGAGCAAAAGTCGTGTGGTTTGAATTCTATTTTGCACATTTCATAGTAAATGGTCACATTTTTACATAGTGTCTTTTCCATCTTAAAGGTACTCAAAGATCTTTAAAACCACTCACCGATTCACATACACTCACCCCCCCGCCACACACACATTCATACACATTCATACACAGTGTACGTAGACACTCAGAGTGAGGTGGGTTATGTTTAAGGACACAATGACAGCACTGTGGGAGATGGAATCTGTCCATGGACCTGACTGCTCAAACACTGATGTTTGATGTTGAGAGTGGGATTCAAACTGCCAACCTTCAGATCAGTGGACACTCTACCAACTGAGCTACTGTCACCCACATTTCATATTGCCTTTGTGTTGTTGGGCTAGACATTTTATCCATTTATAAAGGTGGTGCACAGAAGTAACCAAAAGCTGAGGACAGAAAAAATGTCCCTATTCAAGACCAAACGTGATTTTCAGTGATATTTTATTGGCTGCATTCATCATTATAATTACACAATAATATCTGACACATATACACAGTCCACGTCATATCAAAAGTAAAAGGGTGAAAAAAAGAATTAAGAAAATAAAGTTCACTAGATATCAAGAAGTCCAAGAATCTGGAAAACCAATCATTCCTTCCTAGAGAAATGTTGTTTACCGTCACTATGACAACGGCTACAGTACGACGTTCCATAGATTAGACCGAGCCCATTAGCAGGAAAATACATGGTGAGCATCACAAGGATAAACTATTTTGTATGGGGAAATGGAATGATTAAGTTAGAAAATAACATAATTTTTGGGAGAAAACAAAAAATAAAAGTGATTGTCATTTGAAAAGAATGGAGTGTGTGTTTTGGTCCATAGCATATATTAATAAAAGTTAATCATATTCCTATGGGCACTGGGCAGTCTTGCTAATGTCCACACAGCTCTGAGCACCTCTGGTTTAATCTATGGCCAAGCGGCACAATGGCACTTCAATGGCATACATCACTTAGTTACACATATGCACTTATTCATATGATCAAGAATATTATTTTTTATCAAATCACCTCCAAAATATGAACGATACAGAAAGCACAGTTTGGTAGATACACACACACACACTCACTCACACACACACACACACACACACCACAGACTGACAGCACAGGCATGGGACGCTAACAGGTGTGAGTATTATTCATTTTGTTTTTAGTTTTAATAATAAATCAAAATTGAAAGAAAAAAAGTTGGAATGTGCAGTAATCGATAATATTACAATACGCTTCATTGTATTATTATCTTATGGACAATGAAAAGGATTTATATTTGGTACCTGAATAAACTGTATTTAAAAAAATCATTATATTATATATATATTATATTTTTTACCTGACTTTTGAGATTCAGGTTTAAACTTGACATTTGATGCTAAATACTGTAAAACTGCGTCTTTAACCAAACTTCAAATTCTTAGTTGAGTCAAATCAGTTTCTTTAAGTTGGCATAACATTGTGATCTTTGTTTATTTTACTATCAAGGTTGAACAATACATTTGGAAAGTCAACTTTTTTTTGCCATATTTTGAGTGACTATAAGACCACTGTCCACAAATTGTTCTATTTTTTTTCTTTTTCTAAAATATATAAATACGACATCATGGGAACCAGAGCCGTCGTCCCCATTTCATCACATTCTGATTCACTTTTCAATGACGTATTTGACCTGGTAAATTCACAGATGTTTGAACTGAGTGTTCTGTTCTGTACTTAAACCCTAATTAACCTCCATCTGACCAGGAAGCTGCTTTTTGGCAAAGTTTATTTAGTTACGCCCTGTTTGTAATGAATGTAGTTGGCCGAGTGATGATTTCATCCGAAACTCAACAACACAAACACACAAACACGTAGCACGACAAGTGTTTCTTTGCTCTTTTTTTGGCTCTTGTACAGTGGTGTTTATGTGGGAGGAGAAGAACCAGCTGTTCCTTTGGCAATATTGAATTCATTTTTTTTTTTTTAAGATTATTCATTAATTCCATTTGTTTTTCAGATTTTTTTGGAAATTTGAAATCAAAATTTTCTTAAATTTTTCAGTACTGTGGCATTTAGAGGTTTGCGTTATTATTCATGGAAAGCTATAAAAAATAAAATAAATAAAATAAAAAATTGTAATCTATCGTCCCATGCCTTTAACAGTTTAGTTTCATTCACTCAAACTTTTGGTGCCGTTAAATCACAAACAAAACAAAACAGCTTGAGCAAGTTCACATACATGATGAGTGATAGTAGTATATCTATTTAGAAGCATAAGAAGTACTTTTGTCAACATGTACTGTGGATATGGACTAGAATGGACCCTGCCTGAAGTCTGCTCTGTTGGAAGAAAATGGCTGCAAACACAAGGCTTCAAATGGCGTTTGGTAAACAACAAACAAGAACACTGCATTACGATATTTGGCAGATTACAACGTAGAAGGCAAGATTTTGGGTAAACTCAAATGATTTAGTTCGGCATCATATTTCAGTGCAGATGTTTTTGGACGGACAAAATCTCTAAAATCTCAAGCTTCATGGTCAAAGTAAATATAAAAAAATAAGGAAACAGAATAATTAGTGAATCGTTAAGGGCTTGTAGACAAAATGATAAAGTTATTTGCTAATTAATGTTCAAATACTGGAAGACTAACTCAATAGAATGGCATCTGTGAAGGCAGGTGTACATTAGTGATTGGATAAGTGGCCATTGGCGCAGACAAGACAAAACTAAATCTAAATGAAACTATTTACTGACAGAGCTGCAAATTTTAAGAATTCAATCTACTGTTAAGGCAGCCACACACTGCAGGATTTTTCGGTCTTAAGCAATATTTAAACATGCAACACTTAAACATGCGCACACCACAGACACGAGGAGAATCTTACGAGATTTAAAATCTCCTATCACAAAGACTGCAGTGGGATCTGTCTGCAGACCACAGGATATAAAACTGTGAGCGTGATGGCGTCAACTGTTTCCCGTCGACAGTAAAACCAGTGGCTCTGAGTCTCTTAAGTGTTCAAAGATCAGAGCTCTGCACTTCTAGTTTAGATCCAAGTCAAAACTGTGTTGTTATTATTTGTAAAATGTGGTGCAATACTTCAGATACAGGATTTTTAAAGCAGAAAAGATTGGAGATAAAGTCCATAGGAAGTAGAGTCACTGTCACTAATCTGCAGCTTCAGCTCGATCTGTGAGCTGTGTGGATGTAAACGGACACACGTGAGGAACTACTCTCACCTTTTTACTTTTAAACAATGCCTCAAACTGGATTCACAGCCCAGCTGTTTTGTGAACTGGGGTCATTATTTGTGGAGGACAATTTCTCTGGATAATGTCGATGAGACACTGAAGTTTAAATTTACCACTTTAAAAGACGTGAGGAATACAATCTCGCTATATCTCGAGGTTGTATTTTGTCTCTGTGTCTGTCACTCCTTTGCCCCTGACGCTCTGTTTTATTGGCTGTTACTGTAGCGTTGCTGATGTTTGAGCTGCTCTGTCAGATCAGAACCACCAGAGTCACACTGACACAAAGACACAAAGTCGGGTCACACCTCCGTAAACTCGGAAAATTGCAAATTGCAACCAAAATCAGTCAAATTCTCCTGCGGTGTGTGGCGGCCTTTACCTGGAAATCTACACAGCTGTTACAGAGGGTGAGAAGGAACGGATCGTGTCTAGTCTAGTCCTGTAACAGTTCATTTTTGGTAATGTCACAATTTTATACATTTTACAATTAAACGGTTAGAGTACAACTTAGATTTAAAGGTGCATTGTGTAACTTTTCTGGTGGATGGTCTGGTATTTTTCAGATATAAAACCACCTGTAATTGAATAAAAGTAAGCGATGTGAGCTGTTTAATGTCATACTGTGAAACATTGCAGATAGAGCAGTGACATATCCATAGAAACAACAAGGTGATGGACTCCCAACCCAAAAAAGTGACACAGTGCACCTTTAATAATGCTGATAATACAATAATTATGTTATCTATTGAATTTAGAACGTCACTACAACTCTTTAAATCTGTTAACTGTGAAATACTTTGGATGGTTTCTTGTACAATATTTACTACAAGAATAATATTTTTGTTTTTGGGCATTACAACTAAGCTTTTTTCTTTACTACAAACCTACAGAGATCCGAACCAGACCACGCCACACAAGCAAAGTACTTTTTCTGGACAACTACTGTAACTACTGTACTGGTATATATATTCTAATCCACCACATCAGAATGAAATGAAGTTACAGAGAGATGAAGACCTCACTCACAAATGGGAAAAACATAAAACACACAAGAGCAGAGAGCAGAGCGTGTGACCAGTGAGAAGCAATGAGAGACGAGCTACGGCTGACACTTCGTCCAATCAGCTGCTTCGAACGGATTGTCCTGGAGGTTTGGGACCCGCCTCTTTTACCTGAGACTTCAATAGAAAACCCACTTTGTAATATCATCGTCTTCTTCCTCTGTCTTTTTGGCACCACACACGCGCACACACGCACACACGCCACAGAGCACACTACAGACTGACGGGGAGCGGGGACATCTAGTGGCTACTCTCCGAACTACAGCCACAGACGAACTAAGGTACCACATGCAGAATTATATTGAATGTTGAATGTTTTCTTGTACAGTAATATTTTCTTTAGTGCAGGGTTTCCAAAACTTCAAATATATATATATGTTGTTGTTTTTTTTTTACTTTTTACAAACTTACTTATATTTACTCAATTACTTAAAACCTCACAGTTTCATAAAAGTCTTTTCCTTCAAAAACTTTTTACGGACAGGACAAATGGATTACAACGTAAATTGTTTTTTTTTCTTTTTTTTGCACATTTACACAGAAATCATATGTATTTTAATTTATTTATTTACTTTTTAATTTGATTCAAATTAACGTGTATTGACTTTTTTTTTTTTTTTTTTTTGATTTATTTAAGTACTTATTTAAGTCTTCACATTTCACTCACACACTATTCAGTCCTGTCCCGCATTTTGAGAAACACTGCACTAGAGTTTTCTTATGCGTGTGTAGTATGAATGCCTACTGTCCCTGATAATATCTATAGGTAATTTTTTTGTCTGAAATGCCGCTAAGTTCACACATGTACCACACATTTATACATCAACACTTTTCACTACGGGCACTTCAAACTAAGCAGACCATGTCCTCACTGCTACATTACAGACACGTACTTGGTTTATGGATAGACTTTGTGCGGACTTGTATATATTTTTAGTGTCTGAAATGGCCCAAAACAACAGCCCTTAGACTAATTATAGCATTAACATTGACAGAACTTTATGCATATATATTTAAAATGAATCAAAGATTTTTTCATATCTAAGTGCTGTCAATGGTTCTTAATGCTTTCAGTACGATGGTGTCAGGCAGGAGAGGAGCTTTAGGTGAACACCAGATGCTGCTGATCCAGTAAGATTCGGGTGAAGTTGTTGATTGGTCCGATGGCGCTGAGTGACATGGCGTTGTCCCGCCCCCACAGCAGGTTGGGCCCAAACACCACGGCCAGGTTACTGTTGGTCATCTTGTTGATTTCACTGTTGGCGGACACCTGGGACACAAAGAGGAGGTGAGGGATGCATGACACATAAACAGCACTTCACTTTTTGTTCATTCTTATAATATATTAAATGACTATAACTGCCTAAAACAAAGTGCCTCCAAGAAATGGTATTGTGAGCGTTCTGCCCTATTAAAGGTATTGTAGCTGTTTACTGGCTTTTCAGTTTTGCCATCCCACCACTGCTGACAGTAACTAGCACACCTGACCAGCCCTAAACATCTCCGCTCATTCAAGTCATTCCAGTGGCTCCCTGCCCACTGAACATGCACAGTAGTGCTCTTTTCTCCCACGGGCACACGCCAATGCAGGCGAGCTCGTGCAAGGAGCGCTGTCTCGTGTATCACGTGATCACTTTGACCAATCAGAGCAAAAGGAGCTAGAGTAGAGAAGAGCGGAGCTAACGATTAAAAAAGCAGGTTTGAAGACAAATTACAGATTTGAGCTGAGAAAAAGTTTGTGATCTGAAAACAGGTAAAAATCTCCACAAAATCCAAGAAAAGAAGCTGTAGGTGCCCTGTCAGCCGAACACAAGAAGTTTATGATTACATTGCGCTCTATGGGAAAAATATTTTCTGGGCCAGAGGGATTTTTTCACTGTAGTACCAGTGAGTGTCAGGGGCGGACTGGGACCAGAAACAGCCCTGGACTTTTCCCCTACCATTCGGCCTGTTATCGAAAGCAGTTCGCACAATTCAGTGGGGTTGGCCCCAGTCGGCCCCATGGTCAGATGGCCCTTCTGGACTTTTCCAGAGCGTCAAGACTGCCAGTCCGCCCCTGGTGAGTGTCCACTAAGCCAACTAAAGACAGCTACAAGCAGCAATACTCTATCCAGTTTTTTAATAGATCTATTGACCAGCCAGAATCCCCCACTCTGACAAAACATCACAAAGACGAGTGGATCTAGAGCCGGATCCCGTCTCCTTGATTTCAGAGGATGTGACTGACATGTGAGACAGGGAGACACATGGTCATTACGTGTCACAAACAAACACTGATTATACAGAAAAAAGGAGCGCAGATTTGTAGAGAATCAACAATCGATCTCAGGTAAAAGACCTTTGTTTGTTTTGAATGTTAAAAGGAGGTGTCTTCCGCCTTTGAGAGACATGTACTACAAATCAGCGGCTGTGGTTGGATTCTCACAAATTTGGATGGAGGATTTTCATGCTTTGTTGTCTGGTTCCAGTCCCTTCTGGATTCTTACAGAACCTAGAAGGAACTGGTTCATCACGTAAGCAACTAGCATGCCAACAGCATATTTCCTGGATGATAAAAATACTTTATAATAAGATATAGACAGGCCCCGAGAGCTGCTTCTATAATATACCCGTACTGAGACAAAGCATGGGGGGAAAAAATCTATTCTAGACCCTTGAATAAGGACTAATAAAATAATACAAGGTTCTAACAACACCTCCTGGACAACTTTTAATATCATAAGCAATAAACAAAACACAAATGGTGGAAAAAGGTTTTGATTTGTTAATAGCTACAGCAATAGTGTAGCATTTTAATTACCAATTTTCAATGGAAAATCCATTTGTTTCAGACACTTTTGCAACTTTGAAAGCACCACAATCAAATTCAAGTGTTTACTGAGGATTCCAAGGATTATTTTCCATCTGTTAAATTTCACACAGAAGAGCAGCCATACCTGTGCGAGGAACGTGATGAGGTATCTGAGCGATGCATAGTTCTCCTCGGGCAGAGACTCCACCAGGGTCTTCATGACAGTCACCTGACTCTCCTCTGGCACCGCTGCACACAAGCAAACACTTTATCTGTCAGACAGTGACAGATACAAAACTACATTCATTTCATACTGTACCACACTCCACAACTCACCCCTATGTAACAGATAACCCTATGTCCTGTCAATTATCATTTTATCTTTGCACACTTGTTCCTTATGACCTTTTGTTTATAAAAAAAATGTGACCATTTACCATTTACCATCTCTATATTTTATTTTTACTTGAACAAATATATGTCATAATTATGCCTTATTTGACACTTGCTACTTATTTAGAATTTAGCATTAACATTTATATTGTTGCTCTTTGTTATTATCATATATTGTGATGTGTGAGATACTGTTAATGTTGTAGTCAAGATCACACTAATCAAGACCAAGACCAAGACCCGTCCCAGACCACAGGATCCAGAGACCGAGACAAGACCAAGACAAGACCAAGACTTTTAAAGGTCAAGACCGAGACAAGGCCAAGACTATGGCCCATCGAGACCAAATCAAGAGCACGAAAAGGTGAGGAGCAGCAGACTGACGTGAGGCAGATGGACAGGAATGATGATGTTTTAACCTGAACTCAAGTCTGTGACAAGAGTGAGTCCAAATGCGCAAGACGAGACCAAAACCGTGAAAAAATTATCTTGAGGCTACGACAATAGATACTGTGTCCAAATCATTTCCCTTGTCGTTCATTAAAGTTTGACAAAGTCAGAGTCTAAATATATATCAAAACGCTAACATGGAGGACAAACTTAAAATGAGAATTACAGGCAAAGTTGACGATATCGTTGTAGAGGTGGTAGGTGAGCAGAGGTTCAGGCAGCTCTCTGAGGAACGTCTTGAGGATCACTGCAGCCAAGTGCACGTCCTCCATGTCATAGAAGTTGACCGCTTCACCTGCAGAGAGCACCACACAGCAGGGATCAGCAGGAGAATAGAGGAGATGTGCAGGGATATTGTGTGGAGTTTGTTACCAGAGTTGTAGCGCTTCTGGACCTCCTTGACCAGAGTGACGTTAGCAGAGCGTCTGAAGATTCCCTCCATCTCTAAACCTGCAACATACACAAAGACAACATAAAATATGACTTCTAACTGTCAAAGAGCCTATAATTTAACAAAATATAAATTCACAGTTTTACTTTTGTTCTAGAGGACAACCATTTTTAACCATTTCATTTTTCATCACTCAAAAATAAAAACGACGGTTATTATAAACTGATATGGGAATAGATAGGTTTTGTCACATTCAAGCCATATCTCAAAGATTATATGGTGCATTTTGTTGGTGGTCGGTTACCTCGTTCAGACAGGAAGCTGACAGTGTCCCTCATCACCACGGGAACGGGCTCTCCATCGGCGCTCCTCTGTCTCAGGCTGGACAAACAAAAACCCAAAACAATAGTGACAATGACCAAACTGTGGACAGGACTGACCGCACCAGACAGCTGCTCAAACAATATTTCATCACAAAATTAAATATACAGCAAAGGCGTCCATTTTTCCCTGCCAGAGTAACATTGATTTTTATGATAGTGCATAGAGCAACTTAATACAATAAAAAACAAAATGACATGAGCAGTTGTATATTACTAAGGACACAAATTCAAGTTGAAGTAGCTGTAGGATCTGCCAACCCCAAGTGAGCCTCTCATTCTACTTTGTGCATGAAGAACTGTCATAAATGAAAAGTCTGGACATCAAGGACACAGATGGAAAATGTTGAAGTGGAATATTAAACATTTAAAGCCACATTGTGTAACTTTTCTATTGAGGACTCTAACTACCTTCTTGTAGGTACTTGTAGGACTCCTACTGCTTTTCCTGGAATGCTCCACCGGCATAAAAATGTATTTAGCAATTTATTCAATTATAGGTGTTTTTAATGTTTGCCTCACCACAGAATTGACCTGTAACTTGGCCTGATGGTATCACCTGCTCATTATGGACATATAAATTAGGGATGTAACAATAACCGAAATATTGTGATATCATATCGTCAAAGTTCTCACAATAACATCGTGGACCATCACAATATATCGAATTATAAGCCTCTTTGCTTAAATGAAGAGTTATGGTGCAGCAACAGCTAAAAAAGACAGAGGGAACTACATACAATATGATCCTTTGCTCCATTTCAGTGTAAAGTGCAAGAAGAAATAACAGTTCTAACACTTTTAAGTCTTAGTTCTTTGGATTAAGTCATTTTAATAGGAAAAAGTCACTTAACAACCATTAACACTTTTAGCCATTTAGTCTCCACAAAATATCACAATAAATATCGTACCATGAGCCGTATATTGTGAAAATCTTGTACTGTGAGATTTGGATATTGTTACATCCCTAATCATGAGCCTCCCCACCAGATCGAGAGCTTTTCCACGATATCGCAATAAATATCGTACCGTGAGGTTCATACTGTGGCGATATCGTATCGTGAGACTTGGATATCGTTACACCCTTAATATAAATATATATGACCATACTGTGGGACATTCCAGGCAAAACAATAATCACCATGGAGTTTAAACTACAGATCTTCCTCTAACATCATTTCTATGAGCAAACTGTGCTGGCGTGTGTCGTCCGATCGGAGGAGGTAATTAGTCTGTGGGAAACACTGACCATCCACTAGAAAAGTGACATAGTTCACCTTTAAGAGTGTTATGTAAGAGTGGATCAGTGAGTCTTACATGGAGAGGGGCACTCCGAACACCTGGTCAGGCAGAGGAGGGGAGCGAGGGGGGGACATGGGGGGCTGGGCTGTGGGCTTCAGCGACGCTCTCAGTTTGTTGTCATATCTACACACAAAACATAACATGAGACATACAAAGAACACTGAAATACTGTTCATTTAAATCAACAACTCATTCTAGCTACAAGAACTACACTGGGGTCAACACAGGTCTGTGACACTAACTGTAGGCATGCTCCATTTGAGGCTTTGTTAGACTTTATTCTGAGTTGTATTTCAACACAGTCTGACCAAAAACAAGCTGAAACTACAAAAGGTGAGCTGATTTGTGCTGCTAAAGTCCCTCACACATAAAATTACAGTCACAAGCCAGCTAGTATTAGGCAACACTTTTTCAGTTAGTCTTTCTCACTTTGTTCAAAATCAAAGTCTTAAACAGGACTACGAAAGGTCATATTGATCAGACTCCTGAAAATGTGTTGTTTAAATCATTTTGAATTTTTCTTGAGGTTTCAAAACTTTTTTGTGTGCATTGCTCTACCATAATAGTATAATGTGTATAATATTGTCTTACTCTCTGACACGGGCCGGGATTACAAGCTGCTCACATTTGACCACGTCCTCCAGCTCGCTCAGGTAGTTCACGTAGTTGATCTTTCGGCCAAACTTAAAACTGCAAAAATACAACATGCATCATTATTTTTGAACTGGTAAAAAAAAAAAATATATATATATATATATATATATATACATACATACACATATACATATAAAAAAAAATACCTAATGAGTGGTTTGAAGAGAATTAGAAGTGTCCTGATAAACATTGTGGGGTGAACGATGTACAGAGCCTTAATGTTCTTTTTATACCTAGAAACACAAAATAAAGTTATTATAAACATTTTTCTTATGGTTTAATAAATGGACACAGAAGCAAGTACAGGCTTATCCAACCATAACTGTATAGACATATGTCCTTCCTTTTAAACTGAAGTGGGCTGTCAGTGTCGAAGTAGTATTACCTTAGAGCTTTGTCCTGGCAGATGTCCTTTAAAGCATTTACTCATGAAATAAAGTGTTGCTTTAATCTAAATAAGTGCACTCAAAAAAGAACACATTTAGTAGTAGTCTATAAGCACTACCATAATCTGACCTTATAAGTGAAATGACAATGATCCTTCAGCCACAAGAGGTCAGTAAAGAAAGAAACAACGAAATGGAGCTGTAACAATTATCAGTCATCAGTGAGGTCAGTGATTTATTTTATTTTTTTTCGATTAACTGATTATTTTTGGATTGGTCAACTAGTGATTTTATTATTAAGGTCGCCACACACTACAGGCTTTTTCGGTATTTTTTTTTAAAAGCACACACCACAGACACGAGGAGAATCTAATGAGACTTAATGGCTGCAGTGGGACCTGTCTGCGGACCACAGGATATAAAGCTGTGAGCACGATCGCATCAGCCGTTTCCTGTCTACAGTAAAACCAGTGGTTCTGAGACTCTTAAGTGTTCAAAGATCAGAGTTCTGCACTTCTAGTTTAGATACATGTCAAGACTTTGTTATTATTTGTGAAATGTGGTGCAAAACCACAATGTATAAAGATTGGAGATAAAGCACAAAGGAAGTAAAGTCCTTATCTTTAATTTGCAGCTTCACCTCAATCTGAGCTCTGTGTGTAAACAAACACATGTAAGGAAACACTCTCACCTTTTTACTTTAAGAACGCTTCAAACTGGAATCACAGCGAGGTTTTGTGGACTGGAGTCATTATTTGTGGAGGACAAATTGTATGGATAATGTGGATGAGATGCAGCACTTTAAATTTTCCACTTTACGAGAGGTGAGGAATAAAGCCTTCTGATTATTTTCGCTTGTATTTTGCATCTCTGTGTCTGTTAGAGGCCACATAAAATAATATCCTATGTGTGTCATTAATAGCCAGATGAAAATAGTGTGATTTTAATTGTGTCAGGTTCGGTCGGACTTGGACACTAATATCTGCCTATTGGGCTCGGGTCAGATTCAGTCACTGCTCTCGGATGCGAGCCACTCTCGGACAAAAAAAATCGTCTGAATCCCCACTCTAATATACTAACAATACAGTATATTTGATCAATTGCCAATCTATTTTTTAACCCAATGAAATATTAGGTCACTGACAAAGCTCAAATGTCATACTTTCTGTCAAACTCCCTGTAGGCGTCACGCAGCCAGCCCAGAGAAGGTTTGTTCTCACTGGTCAGACCATGGTGGAAGTAGATCAGGGTGTAGTCGCTCTCCACATACTGGTCCAGAGTGCCTTTCAGGTACCTGCACAAGAACCAGTTTACATAATCAACACAAAATGCTCAATATTAACGTTTATTATGCTAAAATTGGTCCAATCTTACTGGACATAGGAAAACTTCACTTTGACTTTTTTGCTTAAAGTTGATGTCATTTCCTTTGTACGTTTTAATGATACTTACTTCACAGATTAATTATAATTGAATGAGTGAAGTAACGCACACATATACACACAGACAGACACACACACACACACTCACATGAGGAGCTTGTGATGGTCCAGTTGGTGCTGGGGTGGCATCCTGCAAGCGTTGAACACGATGACCTTCCTCCCAAAGTTGTCATCCCCTATGGACACAAACAATGGACACAACCGTTTTGGGAATGCACAAGAGAAAATACACCTGGAATGTATTTTATTATGTAACTACTATAACTGAAGGTGTCACTTTTCTGCTGGAGGCACTGCTAACTTCTTGTCCCGATGGAGATGTTATTGCATTGGCTTGAATGTCCCACAGTATGGCATTGAATTTATATTTCTCCTTTGAGACAAGCAGATGATGCCAGCAGGCCAAGTTACAGGTCAGATCTCTGGAGATGCGACACCACTCATAGAAAGAATGCATGTTTTTCAAGTTTTTTCTGAGCAATAAAAAGCCTGTAATCAAATAAATGCAAGAAGATAAGTTTGATATCATACTGTGGAACTTTCTAGGAAGGGAGGTAACATATAGGTCTGGTCAAGTGGTAACGGAGGGAAACAGAGGGGCAGATTTTTGACATTCAAATAGCTCTTATTCAGAAACTAGAGGGACTATTGAAATAAGTAAAGTATCAGAATGTAGGAAAGAGTTACACTCCAACAGGGTAAAGTTAAACCTGTGATATTCTTTCAAGTTGTTGACAAAAAATTTTAAAACTCATGTTGGTAACGGAGGGAATGAAATATGCAGCACTTTTTGGGCAATAAATACAAACAGTGATAACTAGCGGTTCTCACTTACATATCCTTAACAAACTGGTTTGAATATTTGCTTCATATAGTTTTCTACCATATGGTACAAGATTAGGTTGAAAAACCTCTTACTTTTTGAGTCATGAGATTTTTTATTAAGAAAGGTCATGGTAACGGAGGGAAAGTAACGGAGGGAAAATTGTGCAAACAAGTAGAAGGTGCATGATTTTGCATAATTTGTCAGCTTTTTTTCTTCTGAATACTTTAATATTACTTCAAAATGAAAGGAAACTATTTCTATAAAATATGTCAGTCCTTCCAAACAAATTTTTATCATTTTAAATACTTTTTTTTTTTTTTTTAATCATGTACCTTCATCAACAGTTCAAAGATGGAATAACACAAGATATGATGAAATACATCAATTTATTTACATGATTTTCAGGTCTTTGAAATTTGGGAAATAATTTTTGTTCCATGTTTCATACATGGTCTTTTTAAAACATATGGAACTTTAGAACCAAAAATGGTACAGAAAAAAGGTCAACAGTTTCATAAACTAGAGTACATATGTATCTGTTGAATACATTTTTATATCAGATGCATTAACTTGAATTTTTGGCCTTGCTGTTTACTTCTGCTTGACCGGGCCCATATTCATGAAGTCAAGCAGGTCACAGACCCTTCAGTTATATAGTGCTCCTAATTTCAGCTAATATACAAGGCTTGTGTTGATGATGTTAAAAGAGATCTATTGTGTATAATGCACTTTTCAGAGTTAAAATAGTTTCCCTTCTCATTTACACTCTCAAAGTTTTATTTAGAGGGATTCATGAATGTTTGAGTAATATTTATTCTCCTGCTATATTCATGCCATTGTGATTATGTTTATTGCAACGTACTGTAAAGGTGCAGGCAGAAATTGACTCCCATTAGGCTCTGCAATTTTCCAATTCAGAAATCAGTGGAGTTGTTTCAGATCAATATTGGAATTTAAAATATCTAAAATATAATAAAATGATCTACGGGTGTCATACATATAGCAGACAAAAGCACAATAGGTACCTGCCACTTCAATGATCTGATGGCGGGCGATGTCATAGAAGGGGTGGTCCCAGGGCAGGTGCGGAGAGGCGGCATCAAAGGGCTGAGTGGACTCCGACTCTGGAACATGAAACAGAATTATAGATCTACCACAAACACAGCCATAACCTTCACTGTTTATAGTAAGTAAAGTAATGTATTATAGATGTAGAGTAGCCCAGACAGTGAGACCATCATCACCTCCTCGTACCAGCGTGTTGCCATGTCAGATTTTTTTTTTTAAATCACCTTTTTATACCAGGAAGTAGTGCAGGATCCGGTGGGAGGGTCTGTAATCTAAACAATTTGATAATAATTGTACTTTGAAGTATGTCTCCCCCTGGATCCTGGTTGAGTAAAAGTTGGGTTAGTTAAAGTACCTAAAGTATATAATGCAAATTTGACTCTTGTGAGTTTTAAATCATGTTAAAATGTTGTTACCTTGGTAAACATAACTGGAATTGTATTTTGTTTCGTTCACACATGTTTGAGTAATCCTTATTCTTAGTCTGCCTGTATCTCTAAAGCTCGAAATGCTCTGTTCCAAATGAAATGATATGAAATCCAAATGATTCTAGTGAAGATGTAAGAAGTTTACTGTATTACAACATGACATCACAAGGTGGAACAGAGAACTCAGCCTAAATCTGCAGGATGTGTGTGCCAAACATGTGTGAATGAAACAATCTTTATATTCTCAATATCAAATGTGTCTTACCAATCAATGACCACAGTATTACAAACCACTTTATACCACAACTACTTACTTTTCCAAATATGTGTGGCCGCTCTTTGTCTGCGTATGGCTGTTATCAAATACAAAAAACCCATTACACTTCATACCAGTATGCGCGTGTTGTACAAAGTTGGATAGTAATAGCAATCATAGTCAATTATAGACTATAATTATATTGTTTTAGTTTCCTGTATAATCATATGCAAATACAGAACATTCATGTTCACATTTTTTACTGTTTCTCATTATTGTGTGAATAAACAACAAAACAAAAATGTAGACAATATTTTCATCAATATCAGCCAGTTTCTGTTTAGACAGGGACACTGTTTAGACAAGGGCATTGGAGGAGAGACACTTAGCTGAAAGTGTTTTTATAAAGACCCCCGCACTGTCTCACTCTTGGTTCACTTTTATTAGCACAACGTTTCAGTCCATCTGACCTTTCTCTTTCACTCTCAATTGATTTAGAACAAGATTGCTTTTTATTTTATTTGATAACGATTTGGATGACTCTCCTTCACCTTGAGTCTTATTGGAAATACTATTACAAAAGCACAAATCTGGCTCTACCCTCCAGACACAATTTTTCGTCATTTCTCCTTGTACCCTTGTTGTGAGGCGTCCAGGGCAGGAGGCTGAGTCTGACCCAAGCAGAGTCTCACCTGAGGCGGGCTCGTCAGCGGGCCACTGCTGGTCCTCGTACGTGGAGAGTTTGAGCTGACCTAACTGTGCCGTTGCCGGGTCCTCACTCAGGTCCACCAGGAGGTCTGATGAAGACATCGCAAACACCAGGGGGCGCTACACTGACTGCCGCTGATGGTCTATGGTCTGCTAGGTACTACAGTGATGTTCCCATGCACAACAGGACGACTCTGACAGAAGGAGCTGCACCTAAAAACACAAAAATAGGAAATTCTCAAAAGGACAGACCCTGTACACATGAATATAAATGTCTTGGTTGAGGTTTAAGTCTTGCACAAAAACTGAATGCAAAATGAACCACAAAAATGCTGAAGTGTCATGTTACAACCTTGTTTGGAAGATGACACGTCACGCTGAGCCAGTTTGATAGTTTTCTTATTATAGAAACTAGACACTACACATGGAATTCAAATTTAGTTTATTATTTTATTTTAAGGAGTCCATATTTTTGCAGTTTTCTAATCTATAATGTTATAATGTTTCCTCATCGAAAACTTGTTTTGTTTCATTCACACATGTTTAACACACTCAAACTGAAAACACTCTGTTCCACCTTGTGATGTCAGGTGGTAATACAAGTATTCTTTTTTTCAAACTCCATACACCTTCACTAAAATCATTTAGATAATTTCAGCCCTGGAATTGCCAATTTTTACTAAATTAAATGGAAAATGTAGTTGTTCACTTGAAAATTATCACTACATGACATCACAAGGTAGAACATAGGGTTTTGAGCTTTGGAAATGTAGAGAGAGAGTAATAATATGTAGGGCTGGATGTCATTCAGAAGTTGCAGATACGATACATACCTCGATACATAGGCCACGATACGATATGTATCGCGATACAGTGAGCTTACAATACGATACGATTCAATACAATATATTTCAATTTGATTCGATACAGTTTAAAAAAAAAAAAAAACGAAATCATAGCTGTGATACTAAAAGTCTTTGTTAAACCATTTCTTGTGCAAAGTTCATATGAAACAAACGCTTTAATCATCAAAACAATGAAAATGTCAAATGTGTCACATGAACCAGTTTCCTTCCACTAAACAAACAACAAAACTGTAGCTTAACAAAATAATTTTGTAAAATATATCAAAAAATACTCTTGGTGATATATCGATACAGCAGCTCACGATACCAATACTGTATCATCACATTAAACAGTATGATATATTGATAATTCAATATTTTTGCACACCCCTAATAATAAGGCATTACTCATCTCCAGATATGTTTTAAATGAGGTAAAACATTCTAACATGCCCTAAAACTCACAAGAATCTAATCTCTTGCCTAATATAAGACCTTTAAAAAATACAAGCTCACAGATTCCTCCTCAGACAGAGGGACCGAGCTTTGATCATGTTTAGATAAAGTCGACTGCAGAGGAAGTGGCTTGCTGACTCCAACACTACAGTTATGTTAGCACCAGAGTCAGCTAGCCACCGCACGCTAACCTCTGCAGAGTGGAGTGACACGCGCCCCGGAGCCCACACGCAGCGTCTCCTAGCAACTGGGCTCCAATTTGGGCTTATCAACTAGCTGCACCCTCCGCCGCAGTGTGGAGGATTTAACCAGCGGAGAGGAGATGCTGCAATGGAAGACGTGAGAAAGGAAGAAAGGCGCTAAGCTCTAGGGTCAACTATAGGATTATTACGCAGTTTCAGTTTTCCTATTTTAACTCTGGTTTAGTAATGGTTTTGACCTTGGTTAGACATATTTTGGACCCGCTTTAATCCTGTCAATTCTTTCTGATATTACTCTGGACTGCACGCAAAGGGTCAAGAATCTGACCCTTATTCCTGGTACTTTATAACACAATCAAGTTGTAATTATTATTACTGTTATTATTATTATAAATTTTTTGATTCATCTCACATCTTTTGCACACCGCTCCCCATAATATAGACTGATTCCTAAAAACCCAGCTAACTGGATCTTTTATCATAATATTAAAGGAGCTGTTATTATTCTGAGTTGAAAATTAAATTCATTTGTTATTCATCATTGTGATATAGAAATTAGAATTGAGTGCTTACATCAGAAACATAATAGATTTTGAAATTTAAATACCAGTACCAGTCCGTGTTAACTAGGGCTGTGCAAAAATATTAAAATATCGATATATCATCTCGTTTAATGTGATCATACAGTATCGATACCGTGAGCTGCTGTATCGATGTATCGGCAAGAGTATTTTTTGGCATATTTTCTCAATTATTTTGTTACAGAGCTACACTTTTGTTGCTTGTTTAGTGGAAGGAAATTGGTTTATTCAGCATTTTTAACATTTTCACTGTTTTGATTATTAAAATGTTTCATATGAACTTTGCACAAGAAGTGGTTTAATAAAGACTTTTAGTATCACAGTCGTGATTTAGCCTTTATTTTTACTGAACTGTATTGAATCAATTTGAAATACAGTATACTGTATAAAATTGAAAGCTCAATGTATTAAGATATGTATCGTATCGTGGCCTATGTATCGAGGTATGTATCGTATCAGCAACTTCTTAATGATACCAGCCCTAGTTCCAGCTCAGTCTAGTCCCCTTTTTCTATTCAATGTATTCTGTCAACAACAAAAAACTCAAAGAACAAAAACATATCTCAATTTAAATAATTATTTAAAAATAAATCACAACATTCTGAGGCCTATCCGATGACACTACACATTACGTAAAATAATGTCTGATTCTCGTAATTTTGTTTTGGGCAGAAGTGGATCATTTTATACCATGTATGTACATGAAAATTCATCAACACATTGCACCCATGATAGTATTAGTTCCCCTTAATAACCATTCTATCTTCCTCTTGTCGGCCACTGCTTTCTCTCCACCATCACACTTCCCCTTTAATGTCGCACTCGCCTCAGGGTCCGTCCACACACACACACACATACACTGATACAGATGCAGTAGTGCCCCCCGTGTGACGTTATGCCAGCTGACAGCGTGTAGCTTTAAATAAATAGCGCTACAAACCAAGAACCATAGAAGTGTGTGAGCTGTGCACTGCAGACTGTTGACCTAAAATGGATTTGTAGTAGTGGCTTTGTTAGTGACCATCTTATATGTGACTAGAAAGCTCAGGAATGTCACAGTTCAATAGTAAATGTGTTAATCCATGGGCACACTGAATACAAAACTAATCGTGTTATCTTCAGCCCTATCTTACCATCTTTGTAAGTGCCTTGCTGAGCTTAAATCTCAATCTAATTCTGGCAAAACAAACCAAGAGACACCCTCTTTCTGAAAAGTTACATAGTGCATCTTTATATTAAAAAAAAAAACATAACAATCATACACTTCCTGACTTTCCATTTTGTCATAAATACTGGCATGTATGGTAATTGCATTAAAAAAGGTTACAAGATCAACCTAGACACCAGCAGATGGTTCAGTTCCCACCCTGTATACATAAGATGAACAGCTGACCTACAATGCTCACCTAAAGCATTTTTATGATGGACATAGGCTATAAAACTATAATTACTTTTTGTGGACTTAACCATGACCAGGTGCACTTTTGTATAATAATAATGATTAACAAAATACTTCACGATTTCTATCTTAGAAATCCAATATATGCTTCTGTCAAGCCTTAATTTAAGAATGGGATACATAAAGAGGCATTAAGGATTTTCTGCAGTACCAGAAGTAGTAGTAGTAGTAGTGCTAGTAGCAGTAATGCCAGCTGTATATGGCACTCCAACAAATATCACACAGTACAGACAAGCAGACAGACATATTAACTCAACTTCTCCTTGCTCTCTTGCATGAAGTCTAAACCATTCCAAGTGTGTAACATGGGGACGAATACAAATGCAGATGTTCATAATAATAATAACCAATGGAAAAGATATATTAAAATAATATGTAAGTTCCAAATAGACACCACTGTTTCTGTACCACAAGACGTAGAACTGTAAATGTAGGCTACTCAAAGCAACAAGTGCATATAATGTATGATGAACCCTCAGATTAAAAGTGATTTGAGTATTTCAGACCGGCGCAGAAAGAGCAGCCATAAAGCAAAGTTAGCTGAGGCGCAATCTGTCAAAATGAGACCAATTAGCATTTCATTTGCACGCATTATTCAAGTCCATTTAAGATCGTGTGATTGGAAAAAATACACACAGTTAAAATTAAATATTTTCAAAGCTACATCACTGGAAATTCCTAAAATACAGCACATTGTTGTCGTATTTTGGCTCCATTTAGCCCATGCATTCCTTTTAGCGTCTAGTTAACAGAGATAACACTTCAACAGGGCTGGGGAGGCTGTGTGTTAGCATTAGCACTAGATCTTCATTACATGTGAATTACGACAGGTTTGAATATGGTTTTACCGTAATGGTGAGGCGATAAAAAGCCTCGTAGGTGAATCTTGTGAAGGCTGTTGTCGCAGAAGGTTTCCACTGTTGACATCAACATCTGCGTCGGCTCCTCTTCCGCCCACGCCCCGTCACAATAAAAGCAGAAGGCCCTTGACAGGTTCCTCTACAAAATAAAATGAGTACTTTTTCCACTTCAAATGAGAGTTCTACTTTTTCACTTGTACTTTTAACCATTCTTTCAAGACTTCTTTGGTATGGAGGACTAGAGGATGGATCGATTCTGAGAAATATACAATTACATAATTAAATTTGTCATTAAATATTTAAAATGGGAAAAATTGCAATTGATGAATTTCTTGTATAGACATTTTTTTCCAAAAAAAATTATTAGTTATGTAGGGTGTCCCAAAAGATTTGACATCATTTCACAGTCCAATAATTTTGGTAATTCTTGTTGAAATAACCTCAAATTTTCACAGATTGTATAGAAACAGATCAAGATTTTATATTGAATGTTTTAATTTTGTTTTGTTTTCAGATTGAGCCGTTCACTCCCAGAGAGAAGTCATTTTGCGTCTTGGAATCTGCTGCACACACTCACCCAAGACTGTGCAGCTTCAATACAATATTTGAAAAAACTTCACCAACTGAAAAACAAATTTGGACTTGGTACCAAAAGTGTAAAGAGTTGGGCTGCTTCTGCAGGACTAAAGGATCTGGAACCAACATCAACATTGCGCTTCACTTAGTAGTTTTCAAGATAACTGCTTTTAAAATAATGTCATATTTCTTGGGACACCCTGTATACTGTCTTGCTGCTATAGCTTTTATATGTTGTAACATAATTATAATAGATTTGAAGTAAAGTTGGTAGGAAATGTGCATATATTATGTAGGTAAAAGCTAAACTGGTAATAGGTCACATTTGACATGGCGCTTTTACACCTTCAACGCACTCAGAGCGGAAGGAACCACTCACCGTTCACACCTATCAAACCATGTATCAAACCTCTTCAGTTATTTGAACAGGTCCATGATTCACACACACGCGCGCGTCTTAAGCGCCCTCTCGCGGTAGAACAGGGCAGTGCAGAATCCTGAGGAACGCAGCCGCAGCAGGACTGACCTCCACCGACCTGTCTGTGCAGATCTGCAGATCTGCGTGCGGAAGTAACCTGCACGACAAAATGGCGAGGAAAACTTTGGGCTGAGAAAGTTGTGATTTGGGGAGAAATATTCCAAAGTTATGGTGAAGTGAGTGCAGCAGGCTCAGGTAAGGCTTTGGCAGAGCACCGGATAGGGAGGATTGTAAGGATGTCTGAGGGCGCTGGGCAGGGGCTGACCCGCAGAGAGAGCTCCAGACCCGGGCTTGTGGGATTGGTGCTGTCGGTGCTGAGTTCTACGGTGGTCCTGGCGGTGGTGGGCTGTGTGTGCGCCCTCCTCTACCCTGTCCTCAAAGGTAAACATGCTCAGTTTTACTTTTCCAGTTGTTAGTGTGATTATACATATTTGATTGTTTTCCAGAACTGCGACAGCTGAGAGGCAAAAGAGAAGATGGAACTGAACAAAAGATGCTGGGTAAATATTTCATAATATGTCAAAGTATAGGCCCTACGACATGGAAGGATTCAGTACAAAGACTGGAGAGAATAGTTATTACAGTGTATTACAGGTGTATCAGCGTTCTGTAACAGCTTAATGACTGTAAATAGATAATAAAATGCCTATATTAATGTGTATGATCATTTAGCATTTCTACACCTTTGCTTAAATTGGTCTGTGCAGTGCAAAATTAAGTTAACTTAAAGGTTCGTGCAGCTTGTTTTTCTACTTGTTTTAGGGTGAACTGGGGTGGATGTCCCAAACTTTTTATAGTCGTGTACACTGTGAATTTTGATCTGTCATGTACCCTCTACTTTAATACACTTGGAAAAATGTCTCGACATATGTTCTATATTTAAATTAAGCATGGGCTTCACCACCGTACTGTGTACTGTACAGAACCACTCTTGCCTATTTTATGTTTTCTAATTACTGTGAAAGAAATCCCCTTATTAGTCTCTGCATACAGATTTCTTATTTGGGGACATCATCAACCTTTAGTTAACTTACAGTTTATTTGCCAAACACTATTTACCAGTAATCTGTAATATTATAAACAACAGTTTATGCCCTGTAGGTTTCTGGAGCATTTTAGTCATCTCTCTGGTCGTGGCTGGTGTTTGCGCCGCCTCCTCCTGGATCCTGACTCACCTGGACTCCTCCCACAACAGCAGGACACGCCCACATGGTTCACCCCAAGACAGGTAACACACAAAACACTTTCTTCTTCTTTCTTTTGCGTCACTAATACTAATGCAAGTGTTTCCATAGTGACGGGGTCGGGCTGGATTATGGGATGGCTGCGCTGAATGGCGTCATGGCGATGGTTACAGTTATTTGGAGTCTCAGCTGACAATATTTATGAGTGCAATCTTGCCTTGTCTAGTTTCTAAATGTTGAATATCCAGGTAGATGCTATCCATGGATTTCAGCATGATTAGAATTAGGACCATTGCCATAGCAATTAACAATTTAAAACAAAATATATTATAGCTTTGGATTAGGAAAAAGTCCTCAAAATACAGTGTAACCAGAAACCCATGAGTAGATTTTAGTAGATGATACGCATAACCTAAAGAGAGAGTACTGTTACTTCAAAATACTAAGGTCTGCAGAAGTAAATACAACAGTACTCTATATTGCAGTAAAAATATTTGTTGAAGTACAATTTAT